AATTTTATTAAATTTAAGTTTGTAAGTTGATATACATTAAAGCGGCGACTTATGATCATTTAAAAATTATATTTTAAATAAAATGAAAATATTGGGTCAAAATTAATGAAATTCATTTCATCTAAAATCCCGACTGGAAATTAGTTCGGAGAATACGGATTATGATCAGATGCGGATCAGATTTTCCGGAATACGGGCATCTGATCAGTGTACAGTACTCTATCCGTTGATCCACCGATTTGATCAGTTTCTGATCAGAGTACAGTACTCCATTCCTTGATCTGGTCATCCGATCAGAAATTGATCAGAGCACGGTACTCTATCTGTTGATCCAACCATCTGATCAGAAATCGATCATAGGAGAGTATTCTATCCCTTAATCTAGTCATCCGACCAATTTATTATCACAATCTAATGCTACAAATTCTATTACGGTTTCGGTACAATCTTTAAATGAAGATTGTACCCGATGTTCTGAACTGGATCATAATACAGAATTTTATTTTTTACCTGATTTATTCTGTATGCAATATTGTTCGTCAAACAATGAACGAATTTATTGTTAATTAATTTATTAAATAATACGTTAATCATAATTATTAGTAATGTTATGACTAATTAGCAAATCGTTTGTTTATTCAAATTATTATTTTGATGGGAATGGATCTATTGAATGGGTCCAGCATGGATCTTTGAAACGGATCCGTCATGGATTTTAGAAACGGATCCGTCATGTATCTTAGACATGGATTTTTCAAATAGATCCTATGTTGATCATATATGGCGTGACGATTTTCCATGATACCGGGATCAAAAAGCCTGATTTATTTCTGATCAATCTTCAGACAATTCTGATCCGCATCGGATCCAATCCACTAACTAATTTCCAGTCGGGAAGGGTGCCTAGGGCTGCAGCAAGCCTAAATCCGCCACTGGGATTTTTACCATGATGAAACCGTATGGAATTTGTTATAAATATCGTGTCGTGTTATATGAAACGGGATTATCTAGTGAACATTTTAGTAAATATAGATCATAGTACATGCGGTTAAAACAA